GAACTGTTCCGGAACTAACGGATCAGCATGAACCCAGCCATCGGAAAAAAGAAGACCACGATAGCTTCCAATGAAGATATCATTCCCTACAATGCGCATCTCCTACTAAAATACCAGTGCCACATCAATGTCGAATGCTGTTGCTCTATTACTGTCTTCAAATACATTTTCAAGTATATTTACAAAGGACCAGATCAAATAATTTTTGATCTTTCTCACAATAATGCAGTGTGTCAAAATACGGGCCCCGTTCAATGTCACAACGATTCCATGGATATAGACATGCGTAAAGCATTTTTGGACGGACGCTACTTGTCACATATCGAAGCCGCATACCGGCTTTTACACTTTTCTATGCAATACAGTAGCATAATGTGATTTCTCTCACTGCTCATTTTCCCGGGCAAGATCCCGTTTATCTTCAAGGCCTACGTATGCGTAGGTTGCAACCAACCAGCAAACTATTAGCTTATTTCTCTTTGGTTCAAAGAGATACATAAGCTAAGAATATGACTTGAATTGGAGTAGCGGAACGGTATCGTTTCAACGGCAAAATTATGAGCTCTAACAAAAAGGACGTCGCCGTATTGCTAGCATCTGGCCCGTCAACTCAAAGATGACCGAGTTATACGCACTACGAAAATTGTTATTCAACGTTCGCGGTGTGCCTCATCGTACCAGTTTCTCAGAACAGTTAACGGAGTAGTCTATAACAGCTTTATGCAAGCAGCTGAAGCTGCTGGATACATTAAAGCAGAAACAGAATGGGAAGAATGTCTTAGAAGCGCTGCAACTACACAAATGCCATCATCTATTCGTCGACTTTATGCCCAAACCTTACTATACTGTCATCCAACAAATCCCACACATCTTTGGAATCTTTTCAGAGCACAAATGCGCACGCGGTCTCGTATGGCACAGGAATCTGATTATATGCTTGATCTGCTTTCAATAAGGCATATCAAAACAATACTGTTGAGCAATGGCTCATCTTTGGAAGATTGTGGATTGGGATTAATTGAAAACAGTTTGGTTCGCGAATGCGGCAATGATGCAGTTAACGGTAGGACAAGTCCGGAAGTGCCAACACCTTCTATACAATTTCGAAACCATTGACAGCAGCGCAAGAGCGTATTGTTAACGCTATTGTGGAAGCATCCAGGCTACCTAAAGGAACCGGAAACAAGCTCTATTTTATAGATGGGAAAGCAGGATGTGGAAAGACTCATACGCTTAACACTTTAATCAATTTGCTGGAAGCTGAAGGAAAGCGTGTTTTGGCAACGGCCTCTACGGGAATAGCTGCCACTTTGTTGAAACATGAGTAGAACAGCACATAGTCTGTTTTGTCTTCCGATTAAACAACTACACAGCAAATCTA